TTCTTTCATGAGAAGCATGATAATGTCTGGCATTGGCAAACGTGTTTGCAGATGGCAAGTAGCTGATGGATTTCTCAGAAACAGCATGACTGTGTCTGTCTGTGTTCCCATTAATTAACAACACAAGCTTGCGGTTCACATAACAGTGCATGAAACAACAGTGGAAATAGTGATGATAAGCTTGACAGATCTGAAAAATATTATTAATGTGCATTAAGGTGAAAACCTTGGTTGAAAAGAAAGTGTTAGGTTCATAGTTATGCCTTATTTGTCTGATTTGGAAACAAGAAATAAGTTAATCACCTTTTTTCTTTGTAGTCAGAAATAACTGGTACGTCACCCTGCTGTATCTATTTGATTTCATCTTCTGTACTGGCTGAGTGTTTCACATTGTTTTCTTTGGCCTTTCAATGTCACTCCAGTTCTCCGAAATGTTGTTTGTTTTATTTTTATGGCTCAGAAAGCCTTCCTATGCTGTCCTGAGTGCTGCTGGGTTGGAATGGCTCTCAATGGGAGCTCCACGCTTCTGTTGAAACAGATTTACAGACGAGTTATGCAAAATGAAAATGCCAGTGCGACTGCAAAGATTTAGTCAAGCTGGTTGCAAAAAACCTGGCTGACACTGGCTGTATAAATATTAGCCTAAAACACTAGTTTGTCACCATTTTATTGATTGAGCACCATACAGAGCCCTTCAATATTTCTTGTAATTTCCAGTATGGACCACCACAAGCTTTCACATGCATCTTCAAGTAAAAGAAATATTAAGTGCTCATCATGTCTTATTTTTCAAGTCAGGGTCAAATTTCTCCAAATGTCTTGGGTCAAACTTGAAACAATATAAGGCAAGGGTCTTCAACCGGGGGTCCGTAGCGGTGTTGAAGGGGATCCGCCAATTAATGTTTGATCATAAATATTTTTTTGTTAAAAAAATTAAAACAAAAAAAACTAAGTAAAATATAAGCACACTGAAATGAAAGCAATAGCACCCACAATTGATACTGTAATGATATAATATTATTTCCAAAACAGATTTAGCAAATGCTCCATTGCATTTTTGAGTTTGAGCTCTGGAGAATGTGAATGACATGTTTGTTGAGCTCTGGCCAATCAGAGGTGTTTAAGTTAGAATCCACTCACCGCTCAAAACGCCGGTGTTTCTGTTCGGTGCTGAGTTATGCTCGCTCTCGCGAATCCTCTCTCATTAACAACGACACAATGTAAGTAAGGGGTTCATTATGCAGTGTAGACAACTTTATTCATTTTAATGGAACGTTGTGAGATTACGAAGGGGTGCTTTCCCTGAAAAACGTCGAAGACCCCGATATAAGGTATGCAAGCGCCTCAAATCTTGGCTCACAACTGCAAATTCTGCCTTTGCTGTAAGAGAAGTGTTATAACAGAAGCTATAGGTTATAAACATCACAGCTTTTATCCATTATCCACAGTCTCCAAGTGCAGACCTCAGAGAGACAGCTCAATAAAAGAACCGCTATCATATTGTGCAAATGATTTTGTTGGTCAACATTCATATCATGACAAAAGTAATGCTTTTGATACTTGTGCTTTCATGTGATAAGTACACTGTTTTAGATGTAATTATTAAATATGGTTTCAAATTCAAAATGTGGGCTTGTAAAGTCCAAAGTTGCTTGCTACAAAAAGCAAAGGAAAGCAGAGTGAATTCTCCTGCCGAGCTTTTAACTCTTGTTTTAGTAAACCTGAAACCCTCATAGACATTTCCAGATGTGATTGTGTTGCCTACTAATAATGACCAAGTAGGTATAGCAGAATAATAGTAACTTTAGGCTGTAAATGACCATGAAAGAAGAAACAGAACAGAACAGAAATCGAAATAATCTGGGCCACTAATAATGTTCACATCAGCATAATCTCCATTCACAGATGACTGTCAGGACATCTGTTCTGTGTACAAAAAGATGCACAGTAGTTAAAGTTATTCCATCCCATCTGAAAGAGGAACCCTCCCTTCTTGATCGGGTTCCCAAATTACGAGTGGAAAGAAAGTTTGGCTCTTTAGATCCCAGTGAGAGGGACTTCTGGGTGGAAGAAGGTTTAAAGAGAAGATTATCTTCGCTCCAGCTACAAGTTATGGAGAGTAACCCTTACTTCAGCAGTCAACAAGGGCTTTGCAAAGATGTGAGTATTACATGTGAGCTTTTTATGCGATAGAAAATTAGCAAAAGTAGAGAAAAGTAAAAGTCTAGTCTAGGAGTCTCAAAATCGAAATATGCAATGCTTCATAAGAAAATCAATATTTAGGTGGAATGATGGTTCTCTCTGTAATGTATACATCTAAAATAATTAACTAAATTATATATATATATATATATATTTTTTTTTTTTTTTTTTTTTTTTATTTTTTAAAGGTTTAG